CTTAGCGGAGGGATGGCGATCCAGGTTGGGTTTTGATGCAAAGAGAAATGATTCCAGTGGCAAAAAGGGATTTCTGGAAGGCGGACAGAGTTCCGCGCTGCCTGGAAGCGGTCATTCCCTGACTAACAGAAGGTGACGGGGCCCGGGGGCTCCCTGCCCTCCAGGAGCTCCCAGCCAGGCCGGACAGATGGCGGCAGGAAGGCGTGGTCCGCGCTGTTACAGAGCCACGTTCCGGGAGGAGGAGGCACAGAGGGCCGTGTGAGGATGTGCCCTTGTGTCCGGGGCTCCCGTGGCAAGTTCCTGCTAACATGGTGGCTGGAAACCACACATGCGTGCTCTCATGGGGCCGAGGCCAGAAGTCCACTGTTCGTGTCACCGGGCTGAAATCAAGGGTTGTGCTCCCTTCGAAGGCTCTAGGGGACAATCTGTCCTTGTCTCTTCTGGCTTCTGGGGGTTCCAGGTGCTTCTGGGCTGTGGCCACATCACTCCCCTCTCTGCCTTCGTGGTCAGTGGCCTCTTCCATCACTGTCTAATGTCCCTCTGCCTTCCTTTCATAAGGACACTCGGGGTCGCCTCTGGGCTTCCCCTGGATTAACTTCCCATCTCGAGACCCTAAACTGAGCCACATCTGTAGAGTCTTTATTGACAGATGAGGGGACACTCAGTTCAGGGTTGAGGCCGGGACACCTTTGGGTGTCCACAGGAGGGAAGCTCACTGGTTGGAGAGGGAGTCCTTCACCAAAGACTGAGGACAGGGTGGGAAAGGGACAGCAGAAGCATAACTATCATGGCACACCCAGGGACTTCCAGATGGTTCTGTGCGGTCAGAGAGAACATCATCCCAGGTGGCAGTAGCGTCACGCACAGGGGCTTGGCTGTGGGCTGTGGAATTATAAAATGCCCAGCACTAACCAGGGGAGTGGCGGGGGGGGGGCAGCTGAGGAGTTCGTCCTCTAGTGGGCCAGCTTTGGGATATAGCAGAGAACTTTAATCCGGATTCACTTTTTAGAAAAATCACGCTATCGGCTGTGTGGAGGCTGGAGTGGAGAGTGTCTAGGCCAGGGACCCGCACAGTTTCCCTGGACAGATGGGCAGTCCGCGTGTTCCGCTTTGCAAGCCGCAGCGTCCCTCACCAGGCTGCCGTGCTCTCTGCTGACAGGATGGGCCAGCTGCTCCTGCCGGTTTACCTGACGGGTTTCCCTCCCCTCCGGGCAGGGGGCAGAAGTGCCAGCAAAGGGACGAGGGGAGCGGGCAGCCAGGAGCAGGCGACCTGGCCCGAGTCCTGCAGCACGTGACTCAGCCAGCAGCTCTGGGGAGTCGGCTCCGTCCTGCCACGGTTTACGTGCGGGGAGCCGAGGCCCCGAGATGCCAGCTCGGGCAGCTGGTGAGTAGCACAGCGTAGGTTGGACCTGGAGGACCTAAGTCAGCAGGAGGCCACGGCGAGACAGGACCCAAGTCTGGAGCTGGGGTACAGACCGACCGGTGAGGGGGCCCGGCACCTGCTGGGATGTGAGGAGGAAGTGACCCAGCTGTGCCCCAGGCTGCCTCCTGAGGTCTGGGAGCAGCCTCGCTGGCCAGTAAATTCCTGAGGGAGCCCTTTCCGCAGGCAGACGAGGAGGCTCGGCCGCTGGGCCTGCTGGGGCGGGAATTCAGGGCACAGGTGCAGGCTAGGAAGGCGCGGGGAGCCCTCACTCTAGTGGCTGTGCCCCTGGAGACAGGTCATCTCGGGGAAGTTGAAGAAGAAGGGGTAGGTGGCAGGGGAGGAGCTCCAGCCTCGGGGCTGAGGAGGGACGGGAGGGAGAGGACCTGGGAGAGTGTCGCCGTGCAGTCGCACTGTCCCTGCAGCAGGAGGCTCGGCCGTGGGTCGTGGAGCATCCTGGAGGGACCGAGGGGTGGTTGCTCTCCCAGGGTGGTGAGGGATGGGGAGGGACCAAGGTGTCTCAGGGTGGGAAGGGGTTCTTTCTCCATCCAGAATCAGGGATTCCCCACTGCTGCTCAGGATGGTGAGGGCCAGGGAGGGGCCAAGGTGTCGGGGCTTGGGGGTGGTTCTCTGCTGGCTCACGGATGCACACGCGTCCACGGTATTCACTGGGTGCTTTCCGCACACCTGCGAGTAGAACCTGGAGACCAGATGGCTCCTCGGGTGGCAGATTTGGACGTGAATGTAGGAGGCGAAGGACCCAGTAGAGCAGGTGCAGCAGAACCGTCCCCAGGCAGCAGGATGGGGGCTTCTGTTCCCCCGAGCCCCTGGAGCAGGGCCAGGCAGCCTGGTGCATGAGGTGCGCGTATGGGGGCTCTACCCTGGGCCCCCACATCCTCTGCAGGAAGCCAGCAGACAGGAGATGTGCCGAGATGACCAGTGGCAGGATGGTGACTCAGGAATGGAGAGGGTGCAGACCAGAGCCAGTAGGACCACACATCACAATGGGGACACCAGGCTACCGCTCGGTGTGACAGCTAGGGGCGGGAGGCAGGGCTGGAGCTGAGGCTGTGGCAGGTGTGGGCACCGTCGTCATTCCTTCAGCAAATGTGTGCGGAGTTTCCACTGTGGGCCCCGCTGTGGACCTGGGCTGTGAGCTCACGGTGGGCTAGTCCCTGCCCCGCGGCGCCAAGGTAGAGCGGCAGTAATGACGTAAGCTGCCATGCCAGCGAGTGGGCAGGCGTGCAGGGCCGCCTCGGGGCAACGGGCAGCCATGTCTTCCTGAGGGGCATCCAGAAAGGAAAGTGAGGCAGCCGTGCAGGGGAAGGAGCGGCCTGCGCAGGGGTGCAGGAGGGCCGCGGCGGCCAGTTGGCGGCAGAGGAGCCGGCTCGGAGGGGTTTGGTCCCGGCAGGGGCCGGTAGTAGGGAGCATTTACTCCTACAACGCGTGCTGACGGGGTCTGAGCTGCTTGCGTGGGTAGCAGGGGTCTCTGGCTCTGGGGCACGTAGGTCCGCGGAGAGGGGCGTGGCAGCAGGTGAGTGCAGGGGGCGAGCCGGTGGACAGGCCTCCCGTCGTCGGAGCAGCTGCTGTGGAAGGGGACTGCGGGCCGTGCCTGGGGTGCTCCAGGGGCTCGTGGTTCAGAACTTCTGGTCGCAGAACAGCCTCGCACAGAGAAGCGCGTCTCCCCTTTTCTGTCACAGGTGACAGTCACAAAAGGGAAGTCGGCTTCCCGGTAAAAGTCTGGCCCCGGGCAGCTGGGAATGTGGCCACTCCCATCCGCAGCTATTCCGGAGGGAGGAGTCGGGGCGAGGGAGGAAGACTTACTTGGAGATCAAAGTTCCAAATGCGTTAGGAGCCCCGGCAGAGTCTGGAACAGGAGGGGAGAGGTGGGAGGCGAGAGCCAGCGGCCACGTCACGCAGGGGCTCCAGGCTGGGTGGCTTGGGCCCAGCCGCGGTTTGTGGAGATCCGGGGCTGGGCACAGCGAGGAGGGGCAGCGGCCGGGACCCCCGTTTCTCCGCCGAGGAGGCTCAGCCCCCAGCTCCATGGCCACGGAGCCACTTTCTGGGGAGGAGGGAGCCCCGGCCCAGGAGGGAAGCCCGGGACAGCACCTGAGGGAGGAGCGGGAAGTTTCCCGAGCCTGCCCCCCTGCCCCCCAGTCCACATGGCACCCTCCTGGCGCCTTGCTCGCTCCTTACAGGTCCCTTTTGGACACTTGAGCCTATGGGCAAAACCCAACATCTGCCCAAACGCAAGAGAAGGAAGGGCTTCCACACGGAACCGTTGCCTTGTTTTTCCACCCTCGGTGCCAGCAGCCTGTGGTGTGGACGGGAGCTCCTCAGCAGCCCCTGCGCGTGGGCCACGTGGACTGGGGTGCGGGGAGAGGCCTGGGTATTGTGGAGCTGCCCAGTCCCCACCCTGCCCCACTGCCCCCCCAGCAGTGAGAGGAGCATCTGTCCCTGAAGTCCCGTTGTTGGTTGTTTTGGGACAGGGGGCAGAGGTGCCCCCGTGGTTCGGGGGGGGCCTGTCTTGGGCGGGGACGGACTGAGTCACAATTGGAGACAGAGGGCGAGAGCCACAGACCAGGGCTCTGCCGAGTCTGCCCCCCCCCCCCCAGCTTGGCAGCTGCCCTGAGACAGACGCGGGCCTGGCGCCGCAGTGGCCTCGCCGACCAGGCCACATGCTCTGCTGGGGACGGAAGCCGGGGCAGGTGGGGAACAACAGCCCTTGCCAGCTGCTGCCCCCCAGCTGTGCCGCTGCACCTCAGAGCGGGCCGGGGTCCCAGGCCAAGCCAGGCCCCCGGTGAGGCCAGCTGTCCTTTGAGGCGGGTGCGCTGATGCTAGGCTCCAGGCCAGGAGGGCCGGTCAGATGCTGGTCCCTCTGTCATTTGCATTAACAGAAGGGCGCCAGAGGACAGACTTGGCCAAAAACAGAAGTATTTCGTTTAGCCTAAATCTGCTTTATGCTTGTATTAATATTACAGAATCCTAGCCCAGGCGGAAGTCAGGACTCCCTAGGTGAACAGACATCTCCCCTGGGCGCTGTCCTGGGCGCGCAGGACACAGCGGAGCCCACCGACTGCCGTGTAACATGATGTCGTGGCGGGCGGCAGACGCCCAGGAAGGGGATGTGGAGGCTGCTGTTGGGAGCAGAGCCCTCGGGGAGAGCTGCCCGAATGAGATCACGTTTGACAAGCATACACAGTGGGCCCTCTCTGCGCCCTGCGCCCCCCAGACCCCTCAGCACCCCCACTGCCTCCCTCGCCCCCTGTGGCTCCCTCTTTCCAAGCTGGCAAAGCACCAGCCTACGCAGAACTTGCCCTCACTGAGCTTTCTGTCGTGCCAGTCAAGACAGAGGACAGGGAAGAATTTTGCTTTGGAAAGACTTCTCCTGCCAACGAGGAGTAAATAAAGATCTTGCCAGACTCAGGGTTTAATTAAGCCAGGGAAGTGACAATGGCCGCAAAGTAGCGGCCGTGCCGTTCTGGGTACAGCAGCCTTCGGGCCATGTACCTTCTAGCCATTGGAAAGCCACCGTGCTTTGCAGGTCGCTGACCCCTGTCCTCTCTGTCTGGGTGCCCAGGTCCTGCCTGCCCTTCGGTCTGATGCCCGTGCAGCCCTCCAACCACCTGGAATGGAATGAGCCTATGCACTCCCTCCGGATAAGTGTGGGGGGCCTTCCGGTGCTGGCGTCCATGACCAAGGCGGCGGACCCCCGCTTCCGCCCCCGCTGGAAAGTGATCCTGCCGTCCTTTGTGGGCGCTGCTGTCCTCTGGCTGCTCTACTCCCACCGCCCACCCCCAGGCAGGCCCCCTGCGCCCGACGCCCACAACTGGAGGCTCCGCCAGGTGCCCGCCGACCGGTACAATGACACCTACCCCCTGTCCGCGCCGCAGAGGACGCCGGGCGGGACTCGGTACCGAATCGCGGTTATTGCTGACTTGGACACAGAGTCTAGAGCCCAAGAGGAAAATACCTGGTTCAGTTACCTGAAGAAGGGCTATCTGACCCTGTCAGACAGCGGGGACAAGGTGGCCGTGGAGTGGGACAAAGGCCACGGGATCCTCGAGTCCCACCTAGCTGAAAAGGGGCGGGGCATGGAGCTGTCCGAGCTCATCGTCTTCAATGGGAGACTCTACTCTGTGGACGACCGGACCGGGGTCATCTACCAGATCGAGGGTACCAGAGCCGTGCCGTGGGTGATTCTGTCCGATGGCGATGGAACCGTGGGGAAAGGTAAGTCGGGCCCTCCCAGTCTCCCGGCTTCGGCTGGGATGGTGGGGGCCGGGTTGGCGTTGGCTTGCGCACGTGTGGTAAAGCAGTCAGGCGACCGGGGAGAGACGCCAGGTAGAGCCATCTCCCTCCTTCCGACCCACAGCCGCGCCCCCCTACCCCCGGCCGCTGGCCTCACACCGAAGCTTGTTTCTAGAAGACTGGCCCGGAAGCGGGTCCTTCCCAGGACAAGTGTGAGGGCGCTGTCCGCCGCTGCTCCCGGCGCTCCTGGGAATGAGTCCCTTCTTATGTCTTCAAGGGGTCTTCAGAGCACGCGGGAATGACAGCCCCACGCGTCGTACCTTTAAGCCGTGGGGCCAGATTGTTCCCGTTTTGAACTGAGACTTTCCTGAGAAGGTAAACGTACGCTGTCCCGCTCTCCTTTCTGCAGACGCGGCAGCAGGAGGGTCTGCGCGTGGGTGGCAGTGACCGTGCTCGAGTGGGGTCCGGGCGTGGAACTCCTGTGACCCGCTGCTCTGCTGCGTGCTGAAAAGGACTTACCGCGTTCAGGCAGGGGGGAGCACAGGGCTCCGAGAGGGAGCCGGAGTGGCCCAGAGACCCGGACAGGAAGGAGCAGGGAGGCGCTGGGCGCAGGCGGGGGCGTGGACAGAGGCCTCCGTGTTCGTCCCCGCGGCCCGGGTGGGCGCGCACACTCCAGGAACCTGCGTGCTGCCGGCCCCTCTCAGGTCAGGAAAGGAATGGCAGCACCCAGCTGGGCCCCTAGGACACATGCTGTCCGCCAGGCCTCCGCGCGGCTCTAAAACCCCTCCGTGCTTGCCCAGGCCTGGGGCAATGGGCCGGGGACTATCTGGAGCAAGTTTCAGAGAAGATACTGGTGGCCCGATTCCTGCTGTAGTCGGTCCGCATTCATGGGCAGCCGTCGTAGTTCAGGTCTTCCCCGTTGGGTCAGGAAGAAAGCAGAGCCTTGGGTTGCCCTGTGGTCGGGTCATGAGAAAGAATGGAAGGCCTGATAAATGGAGAGGGTCTCTTCTCGAACGTGACCCAGGGGAGCTGGCAAGGCCGCTGGGACCACGGGAGCTCAGCAGGTCCCTCCAGAGCCGCCCGCAGAGAAGCATTCTGCTCGCTGCTGCCGTTGCTCGGGGCGGGCCGCTGCTCTGGGTCCTCGGTGCCAGCAAGAAGCTTGCAGAGCATCTGGGAAAGCGAGCGCAGTTTAGAACACAGGGCGCAGCGGGAAGAGCAGCCCACACGGCCTGAGGGCACTGCAGCCTGCAGGTCAGGCTCACGGCACATGAACGAACACAGTGCTCGCCGTGGACTCCGGGCGGCCCCCCACCATCCCCTCTTAGCTCTGGCTGCTGGCACTTCCCCTGCTCTCCGTGGGCACCAGGCATGGTGGCGAGGAACCGCTCTCTGCCGTGGTAATCACCCCAGACGCTTCCTCTGCCCCGGGTTGGAGGGGTCCTGAGGCTGGGGCGTACGGCTTGAGACACAGCGTGCGGATCGGAGGAGATTGACCAGCGGCTGGCAGGGCCTTCGGGAGTGGATGGGCAGGCAGCTGAGGTGCCCGCGGCAGGACGCATTGGAATCCGAGTAGGAGAGGCCGTCCCAGCGGAGGGTTCCTGGACCCACTGGCCAGAGAGAACGGGACACATCCTAGAGGGTGGGGAGAGCAGAGCGTAGAAGGCGGAGGGAGGTGCCCGACTGCCGGCCCTCTGGGAATGGAGCCCTGAGCCAGGCTGTCCTGCCCCCTGCCCTCGCGTCACTGCCTCGTGGGACGTCCAGCACGGGTGATCTCCGACACTCCACGTCGCCGGACGCCGCGGGAACCTGGGGAGCAGAGGGGTGGCTGTCCTCTCAGGCATGCCCCTCGTCTCCTTGTCCCCAGGCTTCAAAGCCGAGTGGCTGGCTGTGAAGGACGAGCATCTGTATGTGGGCGGCCTGGGCAAGGAGTGGACCACCAGCACGGGGGAGGTGATGAACGAAAACCCGGAGTGGGTGAAGGTGGTGGGCTGCAGAGGCAGCGTGGACCACGAGAACTGGGTGTCCAGCTACAATGCTCTGCGGGCCGCTGCAGGGATCCAGCCTCCAGGTAAGGGCCTGGCCCCGCCTGCGGGGGCGGCTGGCAGGTGCTGGCGTGCTGTGCATGCGCGTTCTCCGGCCCTTGGCTTCCAAACCGCCGCAGTGTCGTCCAGGGCTCAGGTTTGTTGATTTCTGTCCGTGATGGCTCCCACAGGCCAGTGGCTTCTGGGGACAGAGGAGCCATTTGCCCTTCCTTCACTCGCCCCGACGCATTGCCTCCCACTGTGTCAGACTGCAGCCCCCTCCCGCTGAGCTCTCTGTCGCACCCCCGACAGAGCGCCGGCTCTCCGCCGCGCCTTCCAGGAGCTGTCGCCGTGTGTGGAGGGGGGTCGTCCTGCTCAGGGCGGGCAGGCAGCTCTAGGCTTGCAGAGCGTGACGCCGAGGACACGGCTTCGCCCCCAGGTGGAAGGCATGCTGCTTCCTTTTCAACTCGGAGCAGCCCCTCCCCTGGCCCCGACCTCTGCCTGACAAATCAAACCTGCTCGTTCACCCCGCTCCCTTCCCCTGGCCCCGCTTGGTGCTCCTCAGCACCAAGGACACAGAGATGCCAGAACTCATGACCACAGGTGACCAGAGATGGGGCGCCGACGACAGAAGGGCCTGTGTGGTCTTTGTTACTCTGGATAATCTAGAACAAGGACAGGTGGAGAGGCCTGTAGGGCAGAGGGAGGTCTGAGGAGGACTGGGTGGGGACGCTGCCCCAACGGACGGGACAGGCCACCGCCTCGCAGTGTCAGCGGCATAAAGCCCGTGCGGGGAGGGAGGCGCCGCGGGCACGGCCCCGTGTGGCGGACCGTCCTGCCCACATCTGGTCATGGGTGGGGCGGGGCCGGGCCCATTGGGTAGTCTGGTGACCTGTGGGTCTGGCGTGTGTCCCCAGGCTACCTCATTCACGAATCTGCCTGCTGGAGTGACACGCTGCAGCGGTGGTTCTTCCTGCCGCGCCGGGCCAGCCACGAGCGGTACCGCGAGAAGGACGACGAGCACAAGGGCACCAACCTGCTCCTGAGCGCCGCCCAGGACTTCAGCGACATCTCCGTCAGCCGCGTGGGGGACGTGGTCCCCACGCACGGCTTCTCCTCCTTCAAGTTCATCCCCAACACCGACGACCAGATCATTGTGGCCCTCAAGTCTGAGGAGGACGGGGGCAAGATCGCCACCTACATCATGGCTTTCACACTGGATGGCCGTTTCCTACTGCCTGAGACCAAGATCGGCAACGTGAAATACGAAGGAATAGAGTTTATTTAAATGGACAAAACTCAAACCAGCGAGGCCCAGAGGTGGACACTTTTCCGCTCCATCAGGACTCGAATTCCATAAAAACCAGAGACTGCACTTTTCTGTGGTGTTTTGTTTGCTTTCTTTTCCTTTTTGGAACTTGCCTGGTTCAGGGAGTTCAGTCCCAGGGTGCGTGGCGGGCGGAGCCCGAGTCCGGGGCGCTGGGGTGTCCCCGCCCGTGTGTGCGCTGCCATCGGGAGGCAGGAGCCGTCCCTGCAGGCACCCTGAGCTGCCCGCCCCCGCCTGGCCTCGCCTTTCCTCCCTCCGACCCCTCTTTCTCCTCTTTCTGTTTGTTCCTCCCCCAATAAATGTATCTTGAGCCCCTGCTGTGCGCCCAGCACTGTGCCCCTCTGGGAACGAGACAGCGAGTCCGAAGTGGACGGGCCCGTCAGACCCTCCCCGGCCACCTCCTTTTCCTCCTTCTTCGTGAACCTCGTGCATTAAATCCAGTTCTCCAGGTTCCTGGGAAAGCGTCTGTCTACACTGCAGAGAATCAGAGAATCGCAAGACTGGTGGGTGAGGGCACCCCAGGGACGCCTCTGCCCGGATTCTGCCGGCAAGGACGGAAGCTCGCTCGCTCGTCCTCAGCCTCACATCAGACAGTCTCCCCGTCGCGCGGCCGACTCCAGTGCTCCGTTCGGGAAACTTCTGTGGCCGTGCGGCACTTTGAAGTTGTACTTATTAACTTATTTTAATCAAACCAGTTTCCTTTCTCGGAGTCACCAGATCTGATCGCACAGAGAGAAGTCCCACAGTCAACAACTGCATTTCCAGCGGCGGGAGATTGGAATTAAGTTCTGACCGTTGGTAAGATAAGATTTTAACGTTTGCAAGTCCTTGGTCAAAGGACACGAAGGTGAAGCGTTGCTTCTCATGACCGGCTCCCAGAGCTTGTCATGCCCTGAAAGGCTTCCACAAATGTTCTCTTGTGCTTCCTGACCCAAGGGGGACCCTACGTCCTGCCACACCCGCCCTGGGTCGCGGGCGCTGGGCTCTGTCCTCAGAGGGTAGTGGTGATGCCTGCCTGGCCCCACGGCTTCTGTCCCCTGACCTTTTGTTCCCCCTTCCCTGGGGAGCTTTGCAGTCTTTTTTTCTGGAAACTTCGCACAAACCCTGCCCGTCCGCATCCTTTGGCCTCTTCTCCATGCTCCAGGGCAAAGGCAGAGGGTTAGGACAGGTGAGGCGGGACTGGAGCCTAGAAGGGCGCCACCGTCAGCCATAGCGCCCCTCCCCTAAAGCTAACTCTCCCCTCAGGAGGATGTGGGGGCTGAGGGGGATGGCCTGGGAACGGCCGTCAGACTTTTCTCACAGACTCTAGGAAGGAGCCCAGTGAGGGTCCGTCTTGTGCTGCCGAGTGTTTCTTCCACGGCGGGACAGGCAGCGAAAGAATGTGACCCGTTTCTCTGGAACTCGGCTCCCGCTGGACACAGCCTGAAAGACCGGAGTCTTGTCTGACTTTGCCTGGCCGGGCTCCCCGACCCACGTCCTTCATGAATGTCACTGATGCCGGGGCTGTGTGAGTTTTTAGGACAGAGGCGGAGTCAGGAAAGTCGGGGGGGCTCGGACCGTCACTAAGGTGAGGCCTTTCAGCCGCGGCCCGGGGGCCGTGAAGAGCATTCCCGCAACGTGATTTTCAGCTCTTTAAAGTGATTTTCAGCTCTTTAAAGTGAGAGGGGTTTTGGTTTCTTGTATCTGCTACTGTCCGCGTAAGGATTGTGATCCTTCCTACTGGAGCCGTTGTTTTGTAAACAATAAAATGCCAGAGGGGACTGTGAGTTCTCTTTGTCTCCTGGTCGGTGTCGGGTGGTGGCTGAGGGCCTGCGGGGAAAGCCAGAGCCGCGGTGGTTTCGCGGGACAGCTGTCTGAGGGGTGCACTCTGTCCTTCTGTTTTGGGGCTGGGGTCTGACATGCCATGGGATTTCACGGGACGGGCACCATCGGCAGATGGGGAAAGACTTTTCTGGAAAATGAATCCTCCAGCCCCGGCTTTTCCTGATTCTGAAGAAGGCTCTTTTGGTCATGGTGGTTAAGATTACAGGCTGGGAAGCCACTGCAGGCCCCAGTCCTGGCCCCGACACTTGCACGTGACCTGGGACAGCTTCTCTAACTTCTCTGTCCTCCGGCTTCCTCGTCTGTAAAGGGAGGATGCTGTCGGGAGTAGCCCGATGCTCGCTTGCTTAGTGTGCGCTGCCCGCCTCCCCTGCGGCTACCCAGGCACGGGGGCGCCCCGGATCACTGGGTGGGAGGAGGATCCCAGGAAGGAGGTCTAGACCCATTAGGGCTTCATTAGTGTGGCTGTGAGGCTGCGGGGATGAGACCGTGTCCGAGGGCGGCAGGATCCTAGGAGGCTCTACATCGAAGCCTCTGGAGCACTGGAAAGGGAGGCCGGGACCGGAAGAGGAGAAACCACTGGAGCATGAGGTCTTAAAGCCAAGTGCGCCCACAGTTCCTTTTGTCTCCTCATGATGACGGAGCAGGAGGCTGGCTGAGGACAAAGCAAAAGCTGGCACCTTGCACCCCCTCTCCACCCGCTCCCCCTCGGTAACATGTGTGACATTCCTCAGGCACCCCTGGCTGCCATAAACGATGAACAAATACTTAACTTGCAGAGATCACAATCCTGCAAGACAGGAGTCTCCCTTGGTTTACAAATGTCCTAGAGATCTACAAACAAAGAAGTTACCTTATCAATAGCACAAATTTCCAGAGGCAAATAACTCAGTTCCTCAAACCCTAATGTCACCCTCCCCTCCATAAACAAAACTGAAGGAGGCTGAGGTAGAAGGAAATGTAAATATAGTTAAATCTCTTCTGAACCTAAATCTCACTAACAAAAACGATTGATAGCAGGATTGTGACATCCCACCAGGAATCTCCCAACTATCTTGATGTTAATGGCCGGCCTAAAGACAACACGGATCAAGGATCAAGCCGCCAGGGCAAGGCCTCCGCTAGGCCTCGGGTATCCCGGCACCTTGTAGGCCCTCTTTAGCATATGAAAACTCCATTGAAACCTCCCTTTCCCTCACCTTCCCCCAACCACAGGGTACTTAACCTGCCATCCCTCACAACCCGGGGCAGCAGCTCTTCCTGCCCACGGGTCCTTTTCCCGTGCTTTAATAAACCACCATTTTGCACCAAAGATGTCTCAAGAATTCTTTCTTGGTCATCGGCTCCGGACCTCAGCCCACCGAACCTCACCTAGGTTCTAGAACTTCATCAGTCCCTCCTGGCCTGAGAGCAGCCAAGCTCCAGATTCCACTCGACCCCTTGTGGTGTCCCTCCCCTGCTCACTCACACCTTATAACTAGCCCCTTTCTTCAAGCCTCTTCGGTGACCCCGGTTTGGAGCCATCTGTTTCCTGCTAGGAGCCCGACCCATCAAACACCGCAGGGAGGTCACTTAAGAAGGTCTAGAAGTATCTGTGGACTGAGCGACAAGGAGGATCCAGTGTTCTTGGCGATCCTGGCGAGAACAGTCCCAGGAGAGCCGTGAGGGAGACGCAGGAGCGCGTCGGGCAGGGGTGGGAGGAGACAGGGCATCGCAAAGTGAGGAGGAAGGATCCGAAAACCCACCCTCAGCCCTCGGAGAAGCCGTGAGCCTGCGGGCGCCACACGCGGTGACTTTGGCCCCCGCGGTTCTCCGTGTGTTCAGGCGCAGCTGATCAGCAAAAAGAAAACTCCCGAAAGCCACTTTGGAATGGAGTGAAACACAAGTGACTGAGATTAATTTCTTCCCCAATGTTAACCCTGTCATGTACACTTCCAATTGGTAAGTTCCAAAGTAAACTGTACCTTAATAAAGTTGTTAAAAAGGTCTAAATAAAACAAAAATAAAATGCCTCCATGCAAAGAAAATGGTTTTACTGGTGAATCGTATCAAAGATTTGAAGAAGAAAGGATGCCAAGCCACCACAAAATCTTCTATGATTTTGGACACTTCCCAACTCATTTTATGGGGGCTTCACTATCCTGATACCACAACCAGATAAATATATTACAAAAAGAAAGAAAGAAAGAAAGAAAGAAAGAAAGAAAGAAAGAAAGAAAGAAAGAAAAGAAATCTAGACCAGTATCCTCCCATGAACATAGATGAAAAATCTTTAGTAAACCTTTAGCTGGTTGAATCCGGCTGCGTATGAAAGTGAAAATAGTTCATGAGAAAGTGTGGCTTCCTCTGGGAATGCAAGATCGGTTTAATATTCAAAAATCGCCAAAATCCACCACATGGACAGACTAAGAAGGGAAAACTATATGATCATCTCCAAAGATACAGGAAAAGGACTTGACCAGACGCACTACCCATTCATGATTTAAAAACAAGCAAACAAAACTCTTAGCGAACTGAGCAGAAAAGGATCATCTCTAACCTGGTAAAGGGCACACGCAAAACCCTACAGCTCGTGTCCTACGTGGTGCTGGAAGACTGGAAGTTTTCCTCTGGAAACAAGGCAAGAATGGCCACTGTCACCACCCCTGCCCCACGGCTTAGCTTCTTATGGTGAAATCATTTTTAAACAACAGACGTTGCCAGACTCAGTGAAGCTCTGTTCCCCGCACGCAGCCTTCTCCGGTGCCGACCCTTCCAGTTACCACACCTGTAAGCACCGTCGCTGCACTCACCACGCTTCGTCGCAGTCGTCCGATGGGGTGTCCCGGGCAGCGCAGCGAGGCAAGGACAAGAAAGTCACTCAGACTGGAAGAGAAAGAACCTAACTGTCTCTACTTGCCGATGACAAGATGGAGTGGATGGAGACGCCCAAGACGTCTCCAAAGAAGGGCCACCGGAACTAGCAGTTGAGTTTAGCAAAGCCAAGGGACGCGTGGTGCCCGCACAGAAACTAACATTCCTGCGTAAGCTACAGCGAGCGACTGGAGACCACGCAATAGATGGAAATCGTTAGATACAAGCACGGGGAAGGCGTGTAGACCGAAGCTGCTAACATGGATGAGCTCAAAGCCCGAGTACACGGGTGTGGTCCATGGCTTCGGGGCCAAGGGGCCAGGGAAGTTTAGTGGGCGAGAAGGTTGTCTTTGCGTAAGTGGCGTGGGGACAAATCTG